CCAGGAAGTACCGACAGCTTGCCCAAGGTCAATACGTTTCGTGTGAATTAGCTTTGCGCTGGATGTTGACTCATTCCAAATTTCATGTCATGGTCGTAGTGCCCCTGCTGGTCGCTGATGACCCTTTGTCTTGCCGGACTTTAGAGACGGTTTGTATCCAGAAGTGGCGTCCTGCCCTCAACTTTCCGTTTATTCTAAAGCTTGGCGTTACAAAAACGGCCACGCCTACACGCTTGCGTACCAGTCTTTTCCAGGCTCATGGCCAACGCACAGCTCGTCAACTGCGCAAACGGCTGTATGCGCGCAAAGCTTTGTCTTGGTATCCGGCGCGAACTATGTCACAGGTGTACCTGCTCACCATTTTGCACATTATTGCTGGAGACGATTTAAAGTCTTTCGATATGCTTCGCCGACTTCGGTCATCATCATTTTCGTTAGAACATCTCTACTGCCTGTACAAGATTGCCGCGCATTTGGATGAACCACCTAGGACTCGTGTAAGGTCTCTTTTGCTTAAATAGCAATACACTTCCGCGACGGACCTACTCCTCGACAAGGTCGTCCTCTTGTTATTCCTTTGCTGGCCCATCATGCCTTCATCATTGAACTTAAGCGTTGGGTCCGGAACAAGGTGTTGAACGCCAAGCCGTACCTACCACCTTTCCACGTGCCCAAGGCAACTATTGTTGCTGGTAAGCACCCTGCTTTGCACCAGTTGGTATACAATCATTTTCAGTTCATGGAGTCATGTCACTGGGGCACCCCCCCAGACTGTTGTTGCCATGCCTTGTTGCGTCGGCGCCCAAGCCTGCGGACAGTCCTCTTCGAGGGCAGCCAGCATGTAGCCACTCCTGCTTGCCTGCACAATGTTTCCTACCGCCTCCAGCAACTGTTGGGCCTGAGTTCTTCTGGTCAGGTGTACATGCAGAAGACATCGTACCAGGAAGTTGGATGGCAAGCTCTGAACAAATGGCTTCGCGGGTTTGGCATTTTCGATGTTACTATTGACATGTGTGTGACTTTGTGCATAGCCATTGGCCGTTACATTTGCAAGCTGCTTGGCAGCCGTGGGCATTTGACGACATCAAGTTGTTGAAGTCCGTTTGGCAAGGATTTGTGGTACATGGGCGTGACCATGCCCCGTTTGAAGCGCATGTTTATTGCCCTCGTTTCTTTCATTCTGTGCTGGTTGCTACGTTTGGTGATGAAGCTATTTATCGCCGCCTCACCTTTTCCATCAGTCAGACTCAACAATATTTGGCCAAAATGAGCAGTCGGCCGTGGCTGAAGCAGTATAAATGGGGTATTTCACCCACGGCTTCGCCGCCTGCTTCGTACCTCCTCTTAAAGAGGAAGAAGGCTTTTGCAATCGCACGCCCGATAATATCTTACAAAGGATTCATTTTCAGTCAGCTGTTCCGAGCTCTTTCCTTTGTACTTGAGATGCTTTGCCAGTCTGTCTTGCCGTCAGCTTTCGGCAATGATTCAATGCCACAGGCCCTTTCCAAGTTGCACAGTTTTTTGCGTGATGCCCCAGACGATGCCAACCTCATCATGCTCAACCATGATTTAGTGGGGTTTTCACATCCATACCTGCTGACCGGATTCTCGCAGCTGTTGCTCGGGTGGTGGAACAATATCAAGCACAGCATGATTTGAGGCCTGACAGTTGTATCACTGTTCTCCTGAAAGAACGAAACACACGTTTGCGCACTTTTCGAGGCAAGGTCCGTCGAGGTGCTTGCCGTGAGCGCCAACTTCGGCTCTGTGACGTCCTACCGTTGGCAAAGCTGTCTTTGGAAGCTTCCCTGTTTGTCAATACGAAGCAGACCTGTCAGCAAGTACGAGGATCCGCAATTGGGAATCAAGTTTCCCCCATACTAGCAAATCTCGCTGTTTCTGTACTTGAGGTAGACTGGCGGCGCAGGTATGACGATCCTGTTCAACGTTTTTTTTCTTAAATCTCGCCTGTTTACAGCACGTTATGTGGATAACAGACTTATCCTCGCTGATGAACACCTCTTAGACTTTTCTTTCATGAGCATTTTCTCTGACCTTGCTTTTTACCAGCCCCCTGTGCAACTTGAATGTGTACCGGGAGATGAGGGAGATCAGTTTCTTGGATTTCATATTTACCCTGCTTCAAGTTGGTCTTTGTACAGCCCCAGGAGGAGTTCCAATTCCGTCCGTTTTTGGCAGCGGGCACTGTGGCCAACAAGTATGCGCCAGTGCAAAAGCAGAATGGCCACAAGAAGATACTTTACATTTGGCACGCACTTACATTGACCGAGGCTTCCCTGAAGCTAAAGTAATGGCCATCCGGCGCAAGTTCCTGCAGCTACGTGTTAGAAGTGAAAACAGTTTGGCCGGCTGGAAAAACAGGGGGTGTGCTGTCTGATTACGTTTCTTGGGGCCCTGCCTTGCAGCGCTTCGCTTCTGTTGCTGACTTGGCTCTGAACCCTTGAAGTTGCTATGCGGGGGTCTTGCTCTTCACCCCCCAAGAAGGGAACTATTGTAGCTTCGGCCTGTGAAAGGTCCCTTCTAGCAGTGGCAGATCTGCTTAATTCTTTCTGTTTGATCATTGCTCACATAGCGGTCTGCGCGGGAGACTTCATTTCAAAGGTGCCGCGTCAACTTCCAAGGCCTTGATAAGGAGGAATACCCCGTGTATTGCTCATGACCTTCGGCTTGCGAAACGGCCCTTAATTTGGGCAGTGACGGATCTCTTTGAGGCATTCCGTTTGCTCGTCGCTCAGATAGCTTTCAGCAGGGGGCAGGAGCGCTATGGCAAGTCTCCTGCCAATGAAGACACTTGCCATATGCGGTGAAACTGGGACTGATCATCCCAGCGTACCTGCAATTTTAGTGGTTTTTGCAGGCGGTTGCTTCGACCACTCAAGCAGCGCTGTTTTTTCCCGCTGTGTCAAGTTGCAGTCTATCTGTGACATGCGTACTCGAGACTTGAACAGCTAAGGGAACAGGCAACCAACAACAAGTTTCAGACATGTCCGGTGACTTGAGAGAGTGCCTTGGCAGCATGGTGAAGTTGGTTCACTACTCACCTGCGGGGAGTTACCAAGTGTGTGTGCACGCAGCGACTGGCCTTCTTTGCACTGGTGCCCTGCAACGCAGTCGGCCCTGACACATGTCTTGCACGACAGGCAGGGCAAGATCCGGGATGCCGAGGACGTGCACGCATGGGGCGTGCTTTTGCTTCTGAAGAAGACTCTTGGAGGATCCCAGGGCAAAGCCGCTCTTGCACCTCATCCACGTGCTGAAGGAGGCCTTGGGGCCCTTAGGGCCGTTGGGGCCCTTGAGCACAATATGGCCTTTGTGCGCAAGCCTCGTCTTTTTGCCGTTGCTTTTCTGGTGACGCCCGGCAACGATTGCTTTTTTCTTCCAAACTTGTCTGAAACTTGTAGCAGAAGGGGGGTTGAAGAATTGGGAAGGTGAGCAGCCCACCGGACGCTATTGTGCTAGAGCTGCTTGCTTGCATATGTCTGAAACGCACCATTGCACTATGGAATCAGGCATGGACAGCCGCTCTGCCAATGCCACCTTGTTGCTGTGTCGCAACGTGAGGAACGTGAAAAACTTTGAGCAATCGGAGTCCTTCATGAGGCTGTGTGAGGCACGGCACCAAAGCTGAGCCTCCTCGCTTCTCATGTCCCCGAAGGGTTCGAGCAAGGGGCAAGTCGAGTCAAGCTGTTTCTTTGCTCTATGGTCGTCCTGGCAGGCTCTCCAGGAACGTGAGTACGACTGGAGGAGCTTCTTGCTGAGCAGGGCGCCCGGAGAAGGCTGCCAAGCACTTCCTTTGACCTGGGCTGGGTTGCGCCCTGAGGCCCGCAGCAGTTTGGTTTCCCAAATTCGCGCCTTCGATTCTACATGGCGCGGGCCTTTCTGCGCTCGCGTTATACCTGGTCTGCACTGTTTGGAAGCAAAGGTTGCAAAACGCAGGCAAGGCCACGCTGTTGTGAACTTGTGGGCCTTGTGCTGCAACCTGCTGCGCACATCGGAAGATCCCTCGATGCACTTTGATGTATCTTGATGTGACGTGGTCAGGCCCCACTCCTTCGAGCACGTGCCAGACGCGGGGAGGCACACGCTGGAGCCGGTGGGGTATGGTTGCGCGCTGGCATGCGCTGGCCAGGCCTTCGCCAGGATTGCCCTGTGGGCCGATGGCGATCTCGTCCGAGGCCGCCGAGGCTTCCGAGGCTTCCGAGGCTTCCGAGCCCTGTGCCTCCTGTGGGCGGCCCGTCCCCACGCTTGCAGAAGGCGCCTGCAGCTATGAGGCGACGCCGGTCGCTGGCTTCGTGGAGCGGCCCGGGCCGGAGTGGCTAGTACCAGAAGAGATCATGCAGAAGGAGTCTGCCCGTTGTTTTGACGTGGTTCTCGCTGGCTGCCGCCACTCGACGTGTTTTACCAAAGCCTATGGACGATACATTGACGGCACTGGCAGCGTTTATCTTTCTGACAAGCTCGTGGAGTCCACGGCTCCGAGCTACGCGATGCAGGAGTTCTACGGGGCGCGTTATTTCACCCCCAACGAAGTGGCGCGTCTGCTGGGCTTCAAGCTCTCGTTGGAGCCGTGTGGCGGGTGCCTGCCGCGCTGCCGCGCCCACGTGCCGGCCGCGGCTGTGGCATGTCGGTGCTTGCCCTTCCAGCTGCCGCCCGTGGAGCCGTCGCAGGCGCGCGAGCTCTGGGCCCTGCTGGGCAACTCTCTGAATCCCCAGGTGGTGGCATTGGTTTGCGTGGCCTGCGACTTGCCAGAGCTGCAGAAAAGGCTAGCCCCTGCTCCCCTTCGCAAGGTGAGAACTTCCCTCTATGGGGCTCCCAGCAGCTTGGAAAGCTGGAGGTGACAACAATCAGACAGGTCAGGTTCACCGGTTCATCCTTCCTTTGTTCAGATGACCGGGTGCGCAGCAATCTCATGCACGACACAAAGCCCGAGCAAGCTGAACGTGGCTAGAACGTAAACCTAAGAAACAAAAGCAGGCCAAGGCCCTTGGGTCAATCTCGCGCTTCATGTGACCCATGGCCTTGAGGGTTCAGGTTCTGCTGGCAGGCCTGCGCCTTTCATTCCGGCGCTCGCGCCGCGTTCGTGGTATGCAGGGTGGGTGTTGGCATGGGCCGTCGACAAGTCCAAGTTCCGGACATGCGAGTACGGCCCTCGCATTTACGCTATGCCCCTTTGGGCTGCTTCACGTTTTACGTTTTGCTCTTTCTCTCAGGCAAGGCTCATTCTGCCGGCGCTTTCGCAAGTACACGGACAAGGCATGCCCATCCCATTCTTGCATGGAGAATATCTCATGCCGCGCAAAAGTCAGGTTCAGCAAGAACCAGGCCGGATGCACCGATGCACCTCCAACTTTGTCTCTCCAGCTGGGTGCAGGCCTTGTGGTGCACAAGCTTGAGCCTTCTTCTGTAACACATGCTGGCAACAAGGTGCAGGCGTGGTCGCCTTTTCTGACCTCGCCTTTTCTCCTGAGAGTTTGGAGTTTGGGTGCCGATGGCCCTGAAGGCCCAACTGCTCTTCGCCAACAACCTGCGAGTCCGCCGGATTTGTGCCCGGCCCAGAGTCTTTGCTTTCAAAATGCCAGGTGAAGCCTTTGCTTCTCCGGCTGAGCTTTTTCCTGAGCGATGTCGACGGCTCCTGTGGCATTGTTCGGGCCTTCATCACCGAGCAGGACGTAGCGTACGTGTGGAGCCTTTTGTCGTGGTGCACCACAGCCTGACTTGGCCCACAGAGCACTGTGTCAAATCCAGCAGGAGCCGATGCATCCTCGATTCCAGTTGACAGAAGGCGATGCTTGGCTTGGAAGCTGTTGCTCTTGAGTGTGTTCCCTCTAAAATCAGAACGTACAACGGATTCCGATGGCACGAGAGGGAGAGAGAGAACGTACACATGCAAGACTGGCTGGCTGGCTGGCTGGCTGGCTGTTTTTCCATCGGCATCATGTTCCAGAGTCCTCTTTGAACTCGAGCTGAAGGTAGCCTTCTTATGCTTGGCTGACGTTGCTTCCTAATTGTTCTGTTGCAGGTGGGCTGGATTATGTAAATTTTGAGACGCAATGCAACTCCTGCTCGACGTTGCTGGAGAGAGAGAGAGAGAGAGAGAGAATGCAACTCCTGCTTTTCCACGGCAAGTATGGCAAAGCAGAGCGCGCAGGTTACTTGTAACATTGTCACAGTCTACTGCAGCTCATGTGCCCTAGCAGTGCCGAGGATGTTGTTCGGCCAGAGAAGGAGCTCAAGCCTGACACAGTGACTCGCCATTGCAATCCTGGGGGTGCCGGGGACGGGGTGCGGGGCATTTCTGGTTGCACGCTGTGCGGGATGGCTGGATGTGGCTGGATATGGCTGGATATGGCTGGATGGCCATCCAGATTTTTCAAAGGTGACAGTGCGCGACACCGGCGGGGTGACGGAGGTGGACAGCACTTCGGGCACCTGCAAGGCAGGAACTTTCCGATGGCTTTATGGATGCCTGTGGATGCTCGTTTCCACTTGGATGCATTTGGATGCATTTGGATGCATTTGTTGTCCCAGGTTCAAATCAGGCATGCGCCATTCGAGCTGGAGTTTATGGCTGGTGGTCAGGCGGCATATGCCATCCGGATCCCGCGATCCGGGAGTTCGGAGAGCTTTTCGCCGGCGCCACTTGTTGCATTGCGCAGGTGCTGAGGCTCAACTCCCGGCATTTCCTGAACTTCGAGCGATACCGCGCGAAGGGCTCCTCAAGGCCCTGGCCTCGGAGCTTGGGCGTCGGAGCTTGCGGAGCTTCCGGAGCTTGGCGGCATACGGCACGGCATACGGCATGGGCCTCAGGGAGGGCCTGGTGGATGCCACAGACGTGGACGACGGCAACTTGTTCGAGGCAAGCCGTTTTTGCGTTTTGCCTCTCGTTTTTGTCCCTTCCCGGATTCCTGGTTGCCTCATCTCCATGCCTGGCAGGAGAGCTTTGGCGGGCATACCGACAGCAAGCCTCGTGGACCTGCTGCCGTTGGCGTTGATGTCACCTTCGAGGCGGGACAAGGAAATTAAGAAAATAACGACGAAAGGGGCAAGAAACGACAAGGAATCTAGTGCTATGGAGTGGTCTGCAAGCCCAGGGTGCCAGGGATGTGTTCGGCCTCGCGGAGCATGCTGCAGGCGCCCCGCCGTGCGGTGTATGGTAGTGTGGCGCTTCAGCTCGATCTGTTCCGCTCTGATAGGCTTGGGCTTGGGCGAGAACCGCTTTTCCGAGCAGCTGCCACAGCCCGCGTGTAGCATCAGGATGTTCTCGTTTTTTTCCCATTTACATCTGCCCAGAGTCAGCCAATTCATCCCTCCAAGGCCCTATAGGTTCTTCAACTTGGACGTCTTTGAATATGTCGAGCGCTCGCATGCTCGCACTGAGTCTGAGCAAGGCACCTAAAGCACCTTTGCTTGGCGAGGCCTTGGATGTCCCCATGGCACTCTATGGCGCCGCTGAAGCCTTGGAGCTCGTTGCCATGGCTTTGGGGATGCTAGCTTGGTTCGCGATATTCACGGTTCCCTTGCGGCACTTGCGGTTTCGTGAAAACACGCTTTGTTGCTCCTTAATTTCCTTGGCTTTGCAGGTGCCTTTGGTGACGGCGGTCCAGCTTGTGCCCAAGGCAGGCGACCGCACAGAGGTGAGAGTGTCACGTGCAAGGTCTGACGGCTTGGCATCGGGCTTCTTCTTCCCCAACCCGCCCGAAGCTCAGAGCAGACGTCCGTCGGGCATTTGTCGAGTGATGTCACGCTGCCAGGTCCGAAGGCTTTGTGCATGTGGAGGCCCAAGGCCAGGCTGTGCCGGTGGCTACTGTACTGTGTGCTTAATGGACAGGCAAGGACACGCGCAGCTGGTGGCTCTTTGAGTCTGGGGTCATGGACATGCCGCGGCCTGTGAACATCCGAATGTCATGCTATGTCAGGCTGCTTGGCATGAGCCCTTTGAAAGCTCTTAGGTTTTTCCTGGCCGGTCCTGGGCCACAGGAAGTGCTGCAGAGGCCGGCACGTTGCTTTGCGTTGCCCGGCGTCCGATGTTGCCAGAGCTTGAGGTACCACACTGTCACGGGGCAGCTGGCCTAGACCGGATACTGGAGTTATATAGATCATTCAGCTCCGCACGGATCGGTCCTGGCAGGTTCCCAAGGCTTCCTCCGCTCGCGGTGCTGGGCAAGCACCAGCGCTGGCCTTATGGGCCTGGTGCGCAATGAGCTAGAACGGGCTGGGCGCAGGTCGCGGTGGAACTACGTGGATGTGGAAGACTCAATTAGCATCAACAGGACTGTGCCTTCGGTGCCTCTGATTTGGGTCCCATTTCTGTCCAACTTGGAGGAAGTTTGACCAGCACGACATTCCCTACGACGTTCTTTGGCTGGACATCGAGCACACGGACAGCACTTCGGCCAAGTAAAGAGTCTGGCCTCGAGAAGTCGAGAGCCTCGGCCAAGGCAAGAAGTACTTCACGTGGCACCCCTCGCACTTCCGCGAAGCAGATAAGCTCCTGGACACGCTCGAGGCGCCAAAGGAAGGAAGCCGAGGGAAGCCGAAGGAAGCCGAAGGAAGCCGAAGGAAGCCGAAGGAAGTGTCGAGCTGCAGGCCTCCAAGCGGAAACTTGTCACCATCATCGACCCCCACATCAAGAAGGACTCGGGGCCGGCGCCTTTGGAAGCCGCTCTTTGAAGCATTTGCCGGCCTCCCTGTCCACGCGCACAGGTATGACGTCTACAAGAAGATGCAGGCTCTACACACACATACGCACAGGGAGAAATCATGGGCAAGGATAGGAGCTCTTTTGTGTGCAAACGGTAGTGGAGACTGGCAGTATGACACATTCTCAGCAAGCTTGAGTCCTTGTTTTGGCTGATGTGCAGAGGGGAGGCGGTCATCCTTGAGCACCGAAGCTGAAGAGCCAAATGGGCCCTACAATTGAGCAAGACACAAACAGGCCTTCAATTTCAGCACGTGTTATCAACAACACTGGGGCCTTGGAAAATGCAGGTTCCTCCTATCAGCATTTCTCTTCACTATCCAACTGCGCAGCAAGTGTCAAAGCTCCCAAACCCTGGCGCCATTCCACGCTTTCGCACCGCGTTTAACTCTTTGCAGTCCAAGTTGCTACGTTGCAGTCCCACGATTTCTTCACCAAGACCAAAGACAAGCAGCTCTACGACGGTGCGCCCATCTACTTGACACCTGAACCTACTAAGCTCAGTGCCTTGAGGCTGGTGCTGGCCTGGCACATCCTCATATCCCGATTTCTGCAATCCAGAGGTGGGCGAAGCCAGGGGATTTCAGCCTTTCTCTAGTGCTTTAGAGCGATGTGCTTTGGGATGCTTTCGGCCTATGCTGAGGCACGGAAGCTTTGGACGACCTTCTTCAAGATGGACTACTATCCGCACAACAGGCGCACATGGGATTGCGGTGTGCTCGGCAAGTGAAGCGCCTGAAGGTTGGACCTCTACACATGGAATGACATGAACGAGCCCAGGGCTGACTTGCTCCAGAGCAGACAAAGCAGCTTGCAGACAAGCCGCTTGTGGCAAGGCCCAGTGTCTTCAACGGCCCGGAGGTTACAATGCCAGGGCCATGACAGGACGACACGGCCAGAGGGTTGTGCGCCTAAGGCCCCGAGACAACCTGCACAGGTGCAGCGAGAGTGACTACAAGGTTGCCGGGATCCAGTATTCATAGAGGTGACCCCGAGCTCCAGGTTGAGCACCGCGACGTGCACAACGCAATGCCCTCAGAACTGTGGCATGACATGAGTCTTTTGACGCCATGCTGTGGTGGCTCTTTGCGGCAGCCCGAGAGATGTTGGCGTACTCGGGAAGTGCGAGGTGTATGGCTTTTACCATCACATGGCCTTAGCCTCATCCGATGGCTCCTCAGTGAATCAGTGAACTCGGTTTGATGGCATTGAGGCCACTGTTGAAGGGCAGCTTGTACGAGCGCCAAACGCGGAGGCCCCAAGTTTCTGAGTCCTTGATCTGGCCAAGCAGTGAGCCAGTGAGCCAAGAGCTGATCATCTGATCCGAGAAATCGCGTTGGCATGGGCGTGGTGGGCGTTGGGCGTGCGCTTGCCAAGGTGCGGCCCTTCGTTCTCACACGCTCCTTCTTTGCCGGTTCTCACAAGCACGGCGCTATTTGGACCGGAGATAACATGGCAAAGTGCGGCCGGCAGTTTGTCACCATCGAACGATGCCAAGCGCATACGGCCAGGTGGGAGCACCTGGCGATTTCGGTTCCCATGCTCGTGTGCCCCGACAGATTCGACAGTCTCACAGTTTCACATGATGTATGTTTCTTGATGCTTGGCACTTGTAGGTCCCTGTGCTTGTGCGGGGCTTCCTTTGTTGGAGCGGATGTGCCGGGATTCTTCTATGCAAGGCCCTCATGAGGAAATGCCGGGGCCCAGGGGGCAAAGCGAAGCTGAGGACCCCGAGCCGGAGCTCTTCCAAAGGCGCACACTGCGCTTTTCATATCGATCATATCGATTCGACTTCGAGCCTCCAGGTGGCATCAGCTTGGCATTTGGTACCCTTTCTACCGGGGCCACGCGCACTTGGAGCCGCGGACCCACGAGGGCCGCAAGGGTCACTCGTGGCTCGAGCGTGTGGCTTAGGACCAAGAGACGAGAGCCCTGGATGCTTGGGGAGGCAATCACGCAGAACATGCGCGAGCAGGCTTGCCAGCTGACACGACACGTGTTCTGCGGGAGGGCCTGCCAAGACCAAGACAGCACAGGTCACCGTTCGATATCAAATGCTGCCAACTTGGTGACCACTGCTGCTTGTGTATGATGCAAACCTCCTGTGCTCAAGAAGCAGCAGAAGCACAGGTACACGTTATTTGCCCAGTGGGCTCTTGATGGAAAACCAATCATGCAGCCGCTTTGGTATCAGGACTGCGCCAGTCAGGCACCATTTGTAGGAGCTGCCAAGCTTTTTTTTGTTTTTTTGTCTCAGGACACCGCAGATGCAGAGGCCCCCAGCAGCATATCAGCTTAGATCAAGCAGCCCGCTTGCAGGCTTTCCGGTATCAAAACACGCACTTCCTGCCCGGAGCTTGGGATCTCGAGCTGTTCCCACGAGAGAAAACATATGCGTGAGGCTCGGTGACATCTTGGTCCGGGCAGTCACCAAAGCCGGTGAGCGGACTGTGGACGTGTACTTGCCGCGTTCTCAGTGGGTGGATGTGTTTGGTATTGTTTGGTCCAAGTGCTGGCAGCGCAAGGCCAAAGGGGGCCTGGTTCGACTTCTGGGACCCGCAGGCGGACGCATACAAACAGAGAGCGTAGCGCAGATAGCCCAAGGCGCCGCCAGCAGGCAAGCTGCAGAAGCTCAAGGCGCTCCCTCGGTTGAATTCCTGTGATGTCCTGTGCCTGGTGCTCGTGCAGGTGAGTCCTTCCAATGCAACGGCCCCAGAATCCTGGAGCCCCAACACTCGCAAATGCCCCCAAACTCCTCAGGTGCCGGTCTTCGTCCGCTCTGGGGCCATCCTTTTCAAGAAGATGAGGCGGCGGCGCAGCTCCCCCACCATGGCGGCCGACCCGCCGGGCCCTCAGCGCCCTCAGCGCCCTCAGCGCCCTCAGCGCCCTCAGCGCCCTCAGCGCCCTCAGCGCCCTCAGCGCCCTCAGCGCCTTCGGCCCGTCCCGTTCCGGGCAGCCCGTGGCGTCCCCGAGGTACACGGTCGTGGTGTACGGGGATCGGGCCCGAGGCAGGGAAGGACAAGCTGTGTTGCTGGGACCCGACGCCGGCAAGACTTGCAGGAAGACCAAAGCAATCTGGGTGGGGATGGCTCGAAGTGAGTAATTCACAGAGTTTTGCAGCACAATCGCACCATAGGTTGGTCTTTGGTGCCTAATAAGTTTGTTGTGCTTCAGCCCCCCCAGCCTGCAATCCACCTCTTACCCACACTTGGAGGCTTCGTGTATCTGGATGACGGGCACAGTCACGAATTCAAGAACAGAGCTCAGAGAATGAACTGTCTGAGCGCGTTGTCATGTCGACATTGTGAACGCGTGACGTCTCGAGGCAGGGTCGGTTCATCTACGACAAGCTCACATTCGATGGGCAGGAACTTGTTGCCGAGCGCAGAGCTAAGATGTTGCGACCGTCGGCAGAAAGCCATGACCAAGGCTGAGGTAGTATCGGTTCCCAGCCCTCTTGCAGCCGAAGAATTGAGTTTTTGCTCAGGCCTGGCCAGAGTTTGCATGCAGTGGGCGCAGCCACTGGAGGCAAGAGGGCCAGAAGGGGGGAAGCATATTGTAGGCAAGCCTTGAGGGATGCATCTATGCGTCCCCTGACAGGCTTGATGTCGCAGAGCGCCGTGATTGAGCGAATAATCTTTGTGGGGCCGGGCACTTGCAGGGGCAAGATAGGGCAAGCACGGTCGGAGGGAGGCACCACTGGCATGCATTGGCCCGTGCATTCAGGCTGAAATCTGCTCCACGGAGCACCCGACTGGGGGACTCGCCAACAGAGCTGGAGGCCATTTGACTTGCTGGCCACTTGCTGGGGTGTTGGTCCTCTGAGCCAAAGCAGGTGACCACCAGCCCAACTCGCAACAACGCATGGGCCGGAAACTTGGAGACTGAGACCGTTGGCCATCAGAAGTCAGAAACGAGGACACGAGAGCGAATGACATGAGGTGGTCAGCATCAAGAAGCCTCAGTGCCTGCTGGGAACCGCCTGGTGCGCCCGCCTTGTCGGATGTCGGACCTCCGATCCTGACATGCGTTTAGTCGCCAGGAAGCTGCGACTGGACTTCTGACGCTGCCTTCCCGGCGAGCGGCATCGAGCAACGAAGCGAGAGGGGAAGGTGATCTCAGAGGTCTTCCAAGGACGTCTAGGCAATGATCAGCGGGGGAAGCATGACCCAAGCAGGCAGAGGTTTCACTGCAAAAGCAGGATGATGACTCAGTGCAGTAGAAAAGACGGAGTACTAGGGCCTATCGCCCGCCTTCCCAAGCATGATGTGTCTTCAGGTCATAGCTTGTTCTGCATGCTCAAGCAAGTTTACTAAGTTCCAAACCGGTCGCAGTTTGGGAGCCATGGCACAGCGTGTCGCGGCCCTGAGCTTTCTGGGAGTCGCCTTGGCCAGCGCTGAGCCGGGCCGTCGGAGCCGTGGGAGCCGTCCCAACATCGTGTTCCTGGTGGTGGAGTCCACCGACGGCAGGGCCTGGGGCCAGGACCAGCAGGCCGTACCACTTCCGCACCTGCGATGGCTCCAGGACCAAGGCGTGGACTTTGCGAAGCACTACTCCAATGCCCCGGTCTGCTGTCCCAGCCGGGCCAGCTTTTGGTCTGGCCGTCATGTCCACAATATCCCGCACCACCAGAAGAGCTCCGGCATCTTCGTGGAGGGGGCGTGGACTCTTGGCAGATCTTGGCAGATGTTGACGCGAGGCGCTGAGTCGAGCCCATTGCCCTGAGGAACAACCACGAGGGACTGCCACCGAACTACACTCTGCGCCTGGACCAGGTGCTGCAACGAGAAGGCTACGACGTCAAAATGACTGGCAAGCTGGACTACTCAGCCGGCGGCCACTCAGAGACACTTGGCTTGCCAGGCTGCTAGGTCTTTTCCGGCTTGGCAAGAGTTTCAGCCAATTCAAGGCTGAAGTTTGAATTTGCGCGGGGGGGAGCTGCTCAGGGATGTCTACCTCCAAGCGTGGACGATGTACACGCGCTTTCCCTACAATCTCAGTAAGCCGCCAGGTGGTTGGGTTGGTGAATCTGGCTGCGTGGACGCTGGGGAAATTCGGCCCGGCAATGCGACGGCACATGAGAAAGACTGGAAGGTGCTCCGCAAAACGGCACGTTGGATCATGGAGCGCTCAAGGGACAAGCCCTTCTTCGTCTACCAGGGCATGTCCATTGTTCACCCACCGTACCGAACGAACGAGTTTTGGTTCAACAAAGCCGGCGCCTCAGGCGTTCTCAATCGATATTGGAGCCAACCTCTGTTTGCATTAGGTGGACCAAAGCCGAGTTCGAGTTCCAGCGTGGGATGCATTGGAGGACAATGGGAAGCCGTGCTTGGGGCTTGAGGGTGCCATGAGCCATGCTCAAGTCGTGAACTGCAGGGATGAGCGTCGGCACATGGTACAACCATAGCCCCCCCCCGGTCAGGAAACCTGACCCACCCACCCTAAATTCCAAACAGCTGCTTGGGCAATGTTAGGATGTGGCACCTTCGCTTGGAAAGCGCAAGCTTGTTGTTCAAGCATGTCGGATCATTCGCTCGGATATGCAATGTTGTTTTTCCACTTCGCCCCGAACCAAGCCAATGTTTGGCTAGCAGGCAACCCAGCAGAGGTGGGAGTCTGCAGGCGGGGCCGGCACTCGCGCACAGACTCAAGCACGAGTGCCCAAAGCTTGTCAAACACAAGCACGGGCGCACACGCAGGAAAGTCTAAGCACAGCAGGCGCACAGACACAAGTGCAAATGCAGGAATGCACAAACACCCGCACGGAACATTCAGAGCCGGGGGGCCAACGAACATTCACATCATGAGCACACGTGCAAGTGCAAGCAGCAGACGGAGCAAAGCAGACCACCACAAAGCAAGGCAAACTATAACTATAACACATTCTGAGCCCTATTCCCGAAGTAGAGTGAGTTGCAGTCATAGGCGGGCTGCATTTGTGGCAGCGACATAGTGGCCCACAGCAGGTGTTCAGTCACAGGGTCAGCACAGTTGGAAGCAAGCAGCTTTGTTCCATGAAGCAATGCAACGCCAAAGGATGTGCAACCAAGCAACACCAAAGACAAGACCTGCCAAGACGGCATGAAACGTCTCCAGACGGCGCCCGAGGATTTGCACCCGTGCGACTTCCAGTCCTCCATGCTGAAAGGCTGCATACCACCAGCCAGCGCTGTGGGATCTGACTTCTACACAGCGGCCCATCGGCGCAAGATCCGGACAATCTACCTGGCCATGATCGCGGAGTTTGATGCCATGGTGGGCAAATATGTGGAGGCTGTGCAGGCCGCAGGACAGATGAACCAGACGGTGTTCATTGTCACGTCAGACCACGGGGACATGCAGATGGAGCATCAGCAGTTCTACAAGATGGCCGCCTACGAGGCCAGCGTGCGGGTGCCAATGGTCATCATGGATGGCCGCAGGCCGCAGGCTCCGCAGGCTCCGATCCGGACGCCCACGCAGCTCATCGACATCTACCCAACCGTCCTCGTGTTTGCCGGTGTGCCAAGAAGGAGATGGCCGCAATTGGACGGGTTTCCTTTGCAGCCCCTGCTGAATGGCAAAGGCTACGAAGACTACGAAGGCTACGGCTTCCGACCGACCTTCGTGGTATCGCAGCACCACGGAGATGACATTGGGATGAGCTGGTTTGCTGTGATAAGGCAGCACTTGAAGCTGGTTGTTTGGGGGTCTGGGCAGCAGCACCCACATCAACTGTTTGATGTTACAGCCGACCCAGCTGCCTGATTGCAAGCTGGACTGCAATCCATGTAGTGAAGTCGTTAACCATTTGCCCACTCCAAAGTTGACGCACCAAGGATGAAAGAGTAAATTTGGCCTTCAAGCCGGGCTATGAGAGCACAATCCAGGAAATGCTGCAGGAGCTCAGCAGCATAGTTGACTACCCGCATGTGGCCGAAAATGTGGCCAAGTACGGCCAGAGCTCCATGAGGCAGTGGATGAAGGACAGGAACTGGAGAGAGGAACTTGGACAGCCCCATCTCAGATGGCACCAGTCCTGGGCACAAGACCCTCTTGGAGCCGCCAAGGCGCAGCATGCGCAGCAAATGCCAAAGTTGCGATGTAGACACATTTTTCTACTCCAATCCTTTGATAATACTGCCCACGGAGTACAATCCGCGCATTGGAGACCAAGCCTTCGCTGCCTTGTTTGCTTTTTCGGGCAGGCTGTGGAAGACTGGTTGGCTGGCCCTCCCAACATTCAAGAGTGCCGCGCAGACTTTGTGTGGCCTGCCCGTTGCCTGGTGGCATTGAGCGAAGTTTTTTCAGCACAGTTCAGCCGTTTCAGCCTACGATGTCACACAGCTTTTGCATTGCAAGCGCAAGCCTTTTGAGCCTGGCGCAGACCATCACGCATGACATTGAGTTGTATTGAGCACCGTCGAGCCACGTTGGGGCCAGTCATTGCTTGTCCAGTACTCACTCAGGATGAGTCACCCAGTTTCCCAGCACCCCCCCCCCCCAAGCTCCTTCCTGGCATGTCAAGCGTTTTGGGTGTACCTGAAAATCAAGGATCCAGACCTGGCGCTCGAAACTTGAGTCGCCAACTTTTGAGCCCCTGCTTTCCCTCGTCCCAGTTGGAAGCCCATCACTTAGCACTTGCGGCTTGCGGGCACACCGAGGCGCGCTGATTGCCATTTGAAGCGGAGGGCTCCAAACGTGCGCGTTTGCCAAAGTGCTCGGCTGTGCATAGTTGTGCACTGGCCCGGGGGTGGCATGGGTTTGGCCGAATCTCAAGCTTTGGCTTCATGTAGCGGGGTGGCAGATCTTGGGCCATGCAGGATGCGGCGGCCTTGGTACGAGTGGCTCCCAACCCCACCGTAAGCCGTAAGCCGAATGCGAGCGGAGCTGGTTTGGACAAGGATCCGGACTGGCAGATGGTGGGCTTTTGCCCCAAAAACAAGGCTGGAACTCACCCCGTGTGCGCATTTACGCGGGAGTGCATGGAATGCATGGAGTGCAGGACCCTGGATTCGGAGAATACGTGGGCCAGGCCAGTGCCGGCAGCGTTCCGCTGGCAAAATGCTGACGACCTTGATCGATTTCTCGCCGCTTGGGTGTGCTCACATGCTAGGTGTTTGGTCAGCTGCGGGGTGGTGAGTTGTTGCGTGACGTTGCCCATCTAGCTTCACTGAGAATGAGTCTGTCTGAACTTGAACATGAAACATGTCAGGCTGAGGATGTAGTAAGAGCGAGTAATTAAGAGTGCAAGTCCGCCTGTTGCAACTTAGCATGGTCGTGCAAAATCAACTAGAGGTCGCGGCCTTGCGGTATGGATGCCGAGGGCGCTGACGCTGAAGTTTCTGAAGGTCTGGACCTAGGCCTGGCGGCGGCCGGGGTGAGCGCTGAGGAGCTGGCGAGCTGCGTGTCGGTGCTGGAGCGGCTGCAGGCCGCGGAGGCGGCGGGGGCCCTGGCGCCGGACGCGCCGTGCCTGCGGGGCCTGCGGAAGGCGCTGGCGCAGCGCCTGGTGCGGCAGCAGGAGGCGTGGCACCTGCCGCAGAAGGACGCCTTGGACCGGCAGCAGCGCCAGCGCCTGGAGAAGCAGCGGCAGAGGGAGCGCAGGCAGCGCCAGCAGGAGGCGGACCGGCGCTGGCAGAACAACGCCCAGCTCCGCGCCAGCCGCCTCGCCAAGCTGGAGGCCCTGGAGGCCCTGGAGGCCCAGGCTGAGACAGGTCACATGGCTGAGCCAGGCGGCGATGTGGAGGATGTGGAGGCCGAGGCCGCGCCAAAGTTGCGCATTCCAGATGGCCCAGCTGATGATACCCCATGCGACGCGAGGGAGAACTACTCTCGGCAGCAAGCCTGCTACATTTGCAAGGTGCGATTCACTGAGCGGCATCACTTTTATTCGCATCTATGCCCCGCCTGTGCCACACTAAACTACGAAAAGCGCCACCGCGTGGCCGATTTTGAAGGACGCGTGTGCTTGGTCACCGGGGCCCGTGTGAAGATCGGCTTCCAGGTGGCGCTGAAATTCTTGCGCATGGGCGCACGGGTGATCATCACGACCCGCTTCCCCCAGGATGCTCGCAAGCGCTACCTGGCAGAGGCAGACTCTGAGCGTTGGCTGGACCGGCTCAGGATCTTCGGTGCAGATTTCCGGTTCCTGGGTGGGGTGGAGGCAATGTGCCAAGAGCTCTGCAGACGGGAGAAGTTTTTGGACGTCATCGTGAACAACGCATGTCAGACAGTGCGCCGACCCGCGGCCTACTACGCGCACCTCTTGCAGGATGAGACGCGTGCCTTGGCATTGGATGGCTCAGATGGCCCCCATCCAGCCATCATCCCAATGGCCGGGGCCGCAGTGCCAGCTTTGACGCAGCTGGCGGTGCTCGGAGAGGACCGGATGAGAGCGGAAGACGTGTCGTTGACCATGCCCGCGGGAGAGCAAGATGTCCATGGACAGCAGCTGGACCTGCGCAGCACTAACAGCTGGCTGCTGAAGCTGGGGGAAGTCGAAACCCCCGAGGCAGTGGAAGTCTTTTGTATCAATGCATTGGCGCCCTTCATCATCAACAGCTCTTTGAGACCGCTTCTGGAAAGCTCGCCAATGCCAGACAGATACATCGTCAATGTGTCCGCCATGGAAGGTAAGTTCTATCGCTACAAGCAGCCCACTCACCCACACACAAATATGGCCAAGGCAGGGACGGCGACGGTCAGTTGGTTTTCGCTTGCCTTTCAGCTTTGCACTGGAAGCACATGTTTTAGCTGGCGGGTTGGAAACCACTGGAAGAACACCCGTTTTTTGCGATAGCAGGACGCTGAGCACAGCCGCTCACGGGCACTTGCATCTGCACCCCCACCTACTAAATGACAAGCGAACACAGGCTCCAGCCAAAGAGTTGAATCCTCAGATCTTCAAACGCCCACAGTGCGTCTCGCACAGGCAAGCAAGTAGCGCGCTTGGCTCTTGGACAGTGAGCATGTGTTTGGTTTTGGAGGGCTCCCATTCCCTGCTTGGACCATCAAACAACGTCGTGCTCTGGGAGCTTCAAAGATCCTTTGCAGATTGTTTTTGTTGAGGCGTGAACACGGTTTCTTCAATAGTTTCCCATTGGACATTGGACCTTCCGGAGCTTCGCAGGTGTCCTTCAAAATGCTTTTCGCGCAGCAGGGTTGTCAACCCGGCAAGATGTTTTAGTATTTTCGCATTTGCGTTTCACTTGTGCCAGGCAGCCTTGAACATGATGACGCGCACCTGTGCAGAGGACCTGGCCAAACATGGGATATACATGAACAGCGTGGACACGGGCTGGATCAACGACGAGAACCCGCTGCCCACGGCCCAGCGCATCGCCGAGGCCCATGGCTTCCAGACGCCCATCGATGAGGTCGACGCCGCGGCCCGCATCATCGACCCCGTTCTCACTGGCCTGGCATGCACTGCGAAGGCGGACGCGGCCAGGGCGGCCACAGAGACTGTCACCGAAGCCGACGGGGCAAGGCGCCTCGCAGGTCGAGCAGGTCGAGCAGGTCGAGCGGGTCAAGCGGGCCCGCCATGGGGCTGTTTCCTCAAGGACTACGTCCAGTCAGACCTGGCCTCAGCTTCTCTCGGCGTTTTCTTTTTCTGCGTCTCATTTCGCCATTTCAATGCCCACTCCCACGGCCCAGGAGTGGTGAAAATGTCCGACCGTGCGCCGTGCGACTCACTCCGTGCGTGCTTCCAAGTCCTTGGCGCCAGGCTGGCCGTTTAGACGGCAGCGGCGTTCTCAAAGTGGAAAGGTGTTGGAAATCAAGTCCACGCGTCTGAGAGGCCAGTGTGGCTAAGGCATCGGACAGCCCAAGGCCGCTGCCCTGGTTGGAGCCTCAATTCAATGCATTTCGGAATGTGATTTGCGCGCGGAAAGCGTGTCATGCACCTGGAAATCGGTTTGTTTGTGCACCTGATGTTATTCAACTCATTCCGAGGTTACATGCTAGGTTTTAGGTTTTTGGGTTTGGGTTACGGGCTTAGGCTTTTGGGCTTCGCTCACATGACTTTTTGTTTCAGGGTTTAGGGTTTAGGGTTGAGGCTTCGCTTGAGGCTCGGAAGAGGCTGCTGTTCCAAAAAACCTAAAACCTAACGTGATGTAAGCCAAGCCCCGAAGCTTAAACCCTAAACCCAAAAGCCTAAAACTAAAGTGATGTAAGCCAAAGCCAAAGCCTAAACCCTAAACCCAAATCCTGAACCCTAAACCTACACCCTAGAAACCCCGTGTCGAAGTTTAACTTGCCCTGACGATGTTTTACCGGTCAAACATGTGCACTCCGTAGTTACGATGTGAAACCACGCATTTTCACCTTCTCACTTCGCACTGCAACATCAGCTTTGGGATCAGCCAACGCATTGTGGCCAGCCGAACCCGCGCAAACCTCATAATCCCATTTTCACGGCCAGTTTTGGCTCGGGATTTCTTGCTGTCACTCCGTCTCGCCCAGCCTGGCCGGCGGCACACACATGCACACCATTTTGATCAATCACTGGATCGCGCCTTTCAAAACTGACATTTGGTCCTCATCAGCAAAGGTGTGCATGTATCTCGGACTTTGCCCTCAGATGATGCAACAACAGAACGGTGATTCAATCATTGGACTCGCACGCGTCACACGATTTGGCCAAGCAACGTCGTGCAAGAACTGTCTGCTGGAGCACATGCGAAAAGGCCTTGCTGGCCACAAATCAACATTGTCGGGCTTGCGCGGTCAATGCAATAACGCCACCCAGCCACATGCCACTTTGGGGTAATCACCCAGCACAGATCTCCTCGCCTGATATGGCAAACCCTTCACAACTCTGACATTTGGTTTCCAGGGCTGCATGCTACATGAGTCAATGCCAACTGCTTGTTTAGCCTGATGCTCAACGCATTGAGCTCCAAGTAGGCCAAGAGGTAAGCTTTGCCAGCCCGTTCCGCAGAGAGACAATGAAACTGTTTCATTCAGATAATGCATGATGCATGCATGTGTCAGGCCCTGAGCCTTCAAACTTCCATAAAAACTTGGATGCAAATGTGGCCCCACAAAATTCACTGGTTGCATTAATCCTGCTTTGTTTGATGGTGAAATTTAGTACGTACCCATGTCACCTTCCCTGCCACGGTCGGCTGCGAATGCTGGCCAAGCGGCAAAATCCGCGAGGCGCGCTCAGAAAGCCCGAAGTGCCGGTTGATGCCAGTCCTTTGGTCACGTCCGTGCCAGGTGGATCGATTCGCTAGGGGGCACACGATTTTATCGCTGAGCATGATAATATTTGG